AACTAAGAACAATCAACCAAGCAACCATGCCATTTGTTTTCTCTCACTCTTTGCAGGCCCATGGACTGTAGCCTGCCAGACTCCTCTCTCCATGGGATTTCTCAGGCAAGAATACTGAAGTGGGTTGCCATTTCCTCCTCCAGGGGATCTTCCTGACCCAGGTTTCAAACCTTTGTATCCTGCATTGACAGATGCATTCTTTACCACTGAGTGCCAGGGAAGACAAGTGACATAGACTCTCATATAATTGGATATTTCCCTTAAATTTGTAATGGCCTGTGCTTGAGATAGTTACTCAGGCAGAATGTCATGGGAGGTTAGACAGGGCCACCTCCAGGCCAGAACAGCTTAGTCATGTTAGTTCCTGACCAATGTGGTCTCATATGGAGTGACCAGCTGTCTAAGATAGGGGGTCTCCTCTTTCCTCTGTTCACCTGAAAAGGAGGAATTCGGGGACTTCCCGCCAGGTAAGAACTAAAAGCACAAGGGACTCCTGCAGGGTACTCACCAGATTGTTGGGATGCCTGGAATTCTGTGCTGATAATGGGAGGAGAGCTCAGGGAACCCTGGATGACAAAATATTGTCTAAAGTGCGCCTCATAAGCAAAGACAAGGGGAGGTAACCCGGTGGGTGTTTCCTATCCTCACCAGCAGCTCACAGAACTTCCCATTGATGGGGTTCCTGGTCTTCTGAGTAGCTCACAAAGTTCCTCTGCCCACTTCAGAGAAACGAGCACCAAGCACATGAGGCCAAGTTACTGCCGTGCACCCACCCTCATGGCATTTCTCACGCAGGCACCCCAGGGCCCTTTCCTGAACTTGGAATGGGCTTCCTGGTTCCAGTTTATCAGGTGGTGCCCATGCCATTCCGATGCCTCCTATTTTGGTCTTTGAGGAGTCCATTAATAGTTTGGGGCCGGTTCAAAATTTCCTAAACTAGATATCTTATTTGGGTCAAACTGCATGGCATTTCTGGGCCAATGAGTCATTCCAAACAATCCCCTCAGTACTTGGAAACAAACCCAAAAGATCTAGGGGAACCAAATGTCCACCATGTTAAAGAATGCATTATACAGAACTGAAAGCTTTTCAGGTATCACCCTGTGACCTCCAAAACATCCTATGTAGTATAGCCTGGTCCCAATATATGCTGAGGGATGGGGAAAACTGGCCCACCAGTGGGTCTCTAAATTACAATACCACTTTACAATTGAATCTGCTATGCAAGAAAAGGGATGAATTTCCCTATGTCCTTGTATGGCCTTATATCAGAACACAGTCTTTCAAAAAGAACATATACTCTTCCTCACTGAGGAAATACCAGTCCTTGACCCTTCTCCTGAGGACCTTCTTGATCTCGTCTCTTACCCTCCTTTTGCTGCTCTGTCCCTTCCGCCTTCCTTCCTATATTCCAATTTGGGCCCCTCCATACCAGCACCATCCTTCAGAACCCAGTCAAGCAAGAACAAACTGCAGGACTAATTTACCAGTAAAGGTCCACCAACCCAACAGGAAAAGTATTTCCTTGGAGGCAAGTCCCCAGTGGAGAAGGAGGGCCCATCCAGGGACACATCCCATTTACCACTTCTGACCTATGTAACAGGAAAATCCATAGTAAGGGGTTGAGAGAAGATCCAAAGGGGTTCCTAAATCTGCTGAGCAGACTCTTTCAGACCCATGTCTCCACAAAGGCTGACACAAGGAGCCTCACCTCCAAAAGGCACTCCAAATGGGGGAATAAAAACCAAGAGGTATTTTCAAAAACCCAAGAGGAAGTAGACAAGGAGAAAGAAAGAATGCAGGACATGCTCTTTTCAGAATGAGGAACCAAGGGGTTCCAGGGTAACGAGCTCCACTGGGGCCACCAAGGCACTGGAGAAAGAACTGGCAGACAGAGGCTGACCCATTATGAAAATATGAGCCTAAGCAGAATCCAGGCAGGAGCAGGAATGTAACCTGGAAATTGGAATAAGACAAGGAAAATCAATCAGGAGCCAACTAGAAAACCCCTTGACATTCCTAGAGCATTTCAGGGAACACCTTAGAATCTATATGACCCCTGACCCTGAGTCACCGGGAAGGAATGTAATCCTGAGTTCCTCCTATTTCATTTCCCAAGTTCTCCTGACATTAGGTCTGAACATCGGAAACTGGGAATAGAATCAGATATCTCCACTTCTTGCCAAGCAGAGGTTGCCTAGCTGGTGTTTCTTAACTGACAAATAGACGTTGGAGGATAAATGGCCCAGAGCAAACCCACCTACTGGCTGTTGTCCCCCAGTGTCAACTGGTCAGCAGAGGAATCTGGAATAACCACCCATGGAGGCTCTCAAATATGGTAGTACCCCCAGCCCTCACTGAGGGACAGTGAGCCAAAGAAACAGGACCCAGTTAGAAAGAGAGACACAGGAAGACAGAAGGCTCACACCACCCCCAAAGGCGGGTGGAAGTAGCAGATCCCCACCTCGAAGGCAGATGGTCCAAAGAGATTAAAATCGATGGAGCTGAAGGCTGGCATGCCAACCAATCTCCAAGGAGCCCCAGCTGACATGAGGCATAAAGGGAACACCTGTCAAATTCTTAGTCAACACCAGCGCTACTTACTTGGCTCTGAACACATCAGACAGATTTTGTCACAAGAGTAGTACAGTTATGGGGGGATTAGGGAAAGCTCAAGAACAGGCGTTCACAGAGCCAGCAGAATGTAAGCTGAATAACCACATGCTCACCTATTCCATCCTTCTGTCTCTGAATGACCTGTACCCCTGCTAGGAAGAGATATCTTGCATAAACTGGGGACTACCTCCACTCAGTAGGAAGCAACTGGAGACTGGCGTTCCCTTACATAGAGAGCACATGATGACAAGGTTAATGGCTGAGGACAGACCTCTCTGGACAGGGCGAGTTGACCTCCACGGAGTCAATCCTGAGGTCTGGGCCCAGGGACAGGTGAAATGAGCTTCAGGATTCAGTCCCATGATAGTCTATGTAAAACCCAGATAAACATGGCCCAAGAGGAAACAGTACCCTTCCAATTGGGAGGGCTGGTTGGTCATCATCCCATTATCTAGGGCCAATTGACAAGGGCCCTATTAAACCATCCAATCAGTCTGTAGTACTCCTATTCTCCTTAAACCCAATGGAGTCCTAAACCTGAAGCTACAGGACTTCAGGGAAGCCAATGAAGCCACCAAGGATATACATCCAGTGGTCCTACATCCTGCTGGCCACTCCATGAGTGCCCTGGGCATAAAAAATGGAACTTGCCTTCACCCTGGAGACCCACTTGCCATTGGAAAGTAGGAAGATCCACTCAGAGTTTGAAATGGGTCTTGGCCAAGCTATGTCAGGAAACTCAAGAAAATTGGATTAAGTTGCTTCTCATGGCCTTGCTCCCCATGTTCAGTTCAGTTCAGTTCAGTCACTCAGTCGTGTCCAACTCTTTGTGACCCCATGAATCGCAGCACGCCAGGCCCCCCTGTCCATCACCAACTCCCGGAGTTTACTCAAACTCATGCCCATCGAGTTGGTGATGCCATCCAGCCATCTCATCCTGTGTCTCCCCCTTCTCCTCCTGCCCCCAATCCCTCCCAGCATCAGAGTCTTTTCCAATGAGTCAACTGTTCGCATCAGGTGGCCAAAGTACTGGAGTTTCAGCTTCAGCATCAGTCCTTCCAATGAATACCCAGGACTGATCTCATTTAGGATGGACTGGTTGGATCTCCTTGTAGTTAGTCACAAAGGATAAGTTAAAGTTAAGTGAATTGAACTCATGTAGGGTAGACCCATTCCCCAAGTCCAAGTGACAGGACACCTTGGCCCCCTTAAAATGCAGTAACTCAGCTAACCAGGTAGCAGAAGCCATGAAAGCTCTCATGAGATATGGTCACCAGATGCTGCCTACACCACTGACCTGGCCCTCCACCCCTTCTGGCCAGGAGTCTGAGTGCACCCCAAAACCTAGAAAACCAGCAGCCCCACAAGTTCAACTCATTCTTAAGTGGACGGACCCCACTCAATGACCCTAACCACTCAGGCTGTCCCAGAGTAGCAGAGGTCACTCTCTGGGAACCTCGCACTAAAGAGGCCCCCAATGTCTGGAGGGACAGCCCGGGGCAATGGGTCCCCTTGACTACACATGCAAAACACTCTCTGACTTTGAAGCTTCTCTTCTGAAAAACACAAGTGTGAGCAGGGAGATTCAGGCCACAACAGTGAGTCTGGACATCAGGACACACTTGCCTATAGACCCAAGACCAAGACAGCTGCATTCTCGGGAAAAAGTGGACAAGTGACCATTGTCCTCTTGCTTAGTATTTAGGCATGTATCTTAAATTATCTGGTGTCCTTTGTCTCCAAAAGGTTAGCAGGATGATGGCCACTCAGGGAGACAAAGAGTCAGGCCTGAGGCCTGATGACAGACAAACACACTTAAAGGCCATTGGGGGACATTCTGCTCCTCCACCCACGTTGTGAAATGCCCACACTTAGCAGGAAACAGTTACGGAAGACAGACAGACATCCTTTGGGCGTCCCTCAAGAATGAAAGTGGAAGTGAAGTCACTCAGCTGTGTCCGATTTTTTGCGACCCCAGGGACTGTAGCCCGCCAGGCTCCTCCGTCCATGGGACTGTCCAGGCAAGAGTGCTGGAGTGGGTTGCCATTGCCTTCTCCAGGGGATCTTCCCGGCCCAGGGATTGGAGCCGGGTCTGCTGCACTGTAGGCAGACGCTTTACCGTCTGAGCCACCAGGCGAGAATGAGGAGCAGGCCAAAAGGCAGAGAAGGGATTTGTCACCAGCAAGACCCATTAACAATTTCAGGGAAATAAGAATAGAATCTGGATAATAAAACCTAATTTTTTTTTCCCCCTCTTCCTTTGTGCTTAGTCTAGTTTCCCTGGCTCACAGGATCCTGTGTGCAGAGGTCTCAGACTCAGCCCTTCAGACTGGAGTTCCCAGTGCAAAATGTCTGCCCCAGCACCTCACTTCGGCCACATGCAGACGCTGCGCAGGACACGCCATCCGAGACGTCAGCCGGGGCCCGTGTGCGGAGATGCTGCGCCGGGCACTGCAGTCTGGAGTGTGAGCGGCAGCGCTCCAGCTGCGGGGACCCCACAAAGCAGCCCCACCGCAGCCTGTCACTGGAAGAGCCTGAGCTCACACCTCTGATCACAGTAAAGCTTTCCTTCGCTTCTGAACCCAACTCAGCCGCCTCCTACTGGCTCGAGCAGCACTAGGCGAAACACACTTGCTGGGGTCCGACTCAGCAGGACTGGTAACGGTTTCACAATTTCCTGTCAACATCCCGAAGCTCACACAAAGGGGCTTTTTCCCGTGCCCATTTAATTGCCAAATTATTTTTGTTGAAGACGGCCGTAAGCAGGGAACTCCTTGCTGACATCACTCTCCACTTATTTAAATGAATATAAACTGCTTAACCTTCCTTTCTAAAAGACCAAAGTTCTCAAATAAGGTTAAAAATATATACTATTTGTAAGGAAAAAAATTAATGATTAAAAACTTACAGGCAGATCAAAAATAAGTAAAATATATCCAAAAAATAAACACAAAGAAAGCAGGATATGAATCAAAAAAAGTAGGATTCCAGGCTAAAACCATTAAATTTTTAAAATATTAAATTTGTTAAAGACTCATTTTTCCTTTCACCTTGTTCAATCTACAGTGACTATATACAATTAACAGAAAAAAATGTATAAAAATACATTAACATTATCTTTGATTTTTCAGATATTGGGCTTTAATAAAACTCAAGCTGTTTCCACACTCTGACAACCTAGCCCCTTTCATATTTTCATCTTTCATAGAGCAGTTCTCTAATGATAATTTCAAGCGCCCCCAATGCGGTATTTCCTGCCAGCCAGTACTGGAGGAATTGCAGGCTTTGCCAAGATGGCATGAGTGTTGATAGGCAAGCATTTTTAATGGCACCAGTTTCTGGTAGAGATGAGACAGCCCCCTCTAGCACCGGTAGCATTTTCTAATTACCCATCAGTATCCCCTGTGAACTATAACACAGCCAGAGATTGAAAAGTTGCAGCACAAAAGTTATTCATGAACAAAACTATATTTTAGTCCATAGACTGTTGGAAGGCTGCTTTGTGGTTTGTTTTTTTGTTGTGTTTCTTTAACTTAGTATCTGAAATTTTTGCTGAGTGCTGACTAAGTTTGGGACTTGGGGAAAACAGCATTATGGGCTTCCCTGGTGCCTCAAACAGTAAAGAATCTGCCTGCAATGTGGAAGACCTGGTTCAATCCCTGGGTCAGGAAGATGCCCTGGAGAAGGGAACGACTACCCACTCCAGCATCCTTGCCTGGAGAATTCCATGGACAGAGGAGTCTGGCAGGTTACAGTCCGTGGAGTCACAGAGAGTCGGACCAACTGAGCAACTAACACTTTCTAAAAATATATTCTATTTGCTGAAGTAGAGTTTTGGAACATGTGTGATCAATCTGCACTGTAAGCAGCCAAGTGTGTTGACTGTGTTATGTCCCATTGGCTCCCCTGCCTGCAGGAGGCCCCACCTTCTCTTGCCGCCTGTTTCAGTCGTGGCTGTGATGCCTGCCATGGGCAAAGAGAGAAGGGCAGAAAGACGGTGCAGTGCCTGCTTTGACAATCGTGTACTGCACTCTTCTCCCTCAGCTATAGTTACCACCACTGTTCACTGCAGTTGATACATCATTCTGGATCCCAGAGTGAGAGCTTTAATGAGGAGAACCCCCAGGCCTGCTCATCTATGCATATGGCATGGGCAGGAAGTAAACTGTAGTGGGTTGTTTTAAATTTGTCAAGACAGCATAGGCCCTATTTTGAATTATAAACCAAACTTGAAAAATTAGCCTTCAGTTCAGACTATTGAAGATGACTGACCCTTTCAAGCATTCGACATTATTTGGAGTAACTGAACAAAAGCCAAAACACACTTCAATTTGTAGACAGTTTTAATTGACATGGCACTGCTTAGAGTGGTTTTGATCTTTGGTGGAGCTCCAGAAAGCATTTATGAGGCACTCGGGGAAATGCATACATTCACATCTCAAACTTCACTTAGTCTGTAGTTTAAAAAAAATTACAATTTGCTATGCCCAGAATGTAAATTCACTTTAAATGAAAACATTTTCTATTGAGCTTTCCTTAGATCTTTATCTTTAAAACAGAACCTGCTGTTTTTAAAATTTTACTTTTATTCTTAATTACTTGATTTGCCACAATTAAAATTTCATATAATCTGGAAAGACAGTGGTCTTATTCTTTCAACCTTAGGTGTTACAAACCAGTCCATCTGAAAACTGTATTTTTAGAAAAAGACATTTTTTTGTCTAAATGTTCAGTGTTTAAATGAACATTTAATGCTCAGGTGCACATAGTCTTACAGGATCAAAGCAAAGTGGATATTCTAAATAGATCCTGGCAATTAGGTGACGGTTGAGGCTGCTTCACCAATAGGAGATAGCTACATACCTCTGGTTTCCTGTGGGGCTCAAGTTTTACTTTACACAACTCTGTAACATATTCAAAGTATGTTCCCTTCCATTATATTCTCAAAACGAAATTCTTAAATGGTAGCTGATATACTATCACTGCAGTTTTGCCTTTAAAAAGCAGTGTGACCCAGAAAGGTAAGATTTCTTGGCTAAGAATATAGAACTATATATTGGAGCATAAAGGCAACACTAAAGATTTCTAGTCTGGTTCTTATATCTTACAACACCCATATACTTTACATCTCTTATTTTATTACCTAATTTCATAACTTGCTTTTGAAAAGTTTCAGACTCACTGAATAACAGCCAAACTTGCACCCATTTTATTACATGCCTCAACTAAGCAACTGCGATAGAATTTCTTGAACAGTAAAAAGGGAGGTTTTCAAGGATTAGTAAGAAATATTTGGGAGTCCAAGCATCACTTGAAACCTGAGTCACAGACTCTTAGTTCTTTTTGGAAGTATTGGGTTGGCCAAAGAATTCACTTGGTTTTTTTTCCATAAAATGATATGAAAAATCCAAACTTTTTGACCAACCCAATATGTCTTCCAAAAATTTAATAGGCTTTATAACTACCTTATATCAACCATTTCCTATTCCTGAAACCATACTCAGAATTCTACTTCCTTGACAGAAATACCAAAACCAATACAAATACCAATATTGCTTTGTTTTCCTGCTGTCTCTCACAAATCAACAGTAGGCACTTTGAACATCTGGACTTCAGTAGAAGAACCACAACTTTGTGCTTTTGTCCTAAAGTAATTTTATCTAAATTTGAACTTTTACTTGGCCCCATTGTCTTAACTTGAACTTTGCCTTACGCACAATAATCCACTGAAGATAATTAAAAATAAGTGCAGAGCTGCTGCTGCTAAGTCACTTCAGTCATGTCCGACTCTTTTGCGACCCCATAGATGGCAGCCCACCAGGCTCCCCCGTCCCTGGGATTCTCCAGGCAAGAACACTGGAGTGGGTTGTCATAGCCTTCTCTGAAGTGCGGAGACCACATTCTTAATTCTGTCTTTGACAAAAGGCTGATCTTTAATAAAGCAAAGGTCACTCATAATTTTCTCAAGTGTTTCTCATATTCTCTTGCTGTTTGGATTTAGAAAGCCATTGCCTTTTCCAAGTCCCATTTCTGAAAATTTTCTTTTTATTTACATTCTTACTTGCAAATTGGCCAGCTCTTTCAAACTTCACCTCTTAATGATGCTACGTTAGACAGGGCCAGGAGGAAAGAAGCCACGTTCTTTGACTGTAGCCATCACTCCAATCTCTGCTTCCATTTTCACATGATCTTCTCTTTCTGTGTTTAAGCTCCCGCTGCCCTTCTTTTTTTCCAGTTTTGTTGAAATTTTCATAGAGATTGCATTCAATCTGCAGGTGGCTTTGGGTAGTAAGAACATTTTAATATATTAATCCTTCTGATGCATGAGATATCTTCCCATTTATTTGTGTCTTTTAATTTTTTAAATCAATGTCTCATAGCTTTCCTTGTATAGATCACATCTTGGTAAAATTTACTCCTAAATATAGTATTCTTTTTGACACTATTATAAAAAGGGCTGTTCTCTTAATTTCTTTATGGGACATTTTGCTGTTAACATATAGAAACACAACAGATCTTGTATGTTGATTTACATCTTGCAACTTTATTTAATTCATTTATTCTAATAGTTTTTTATGGAGTCCAGGGTTTTCTTTGTGTAAGATCAATGTCATATGCAAACAGAGATGAGTTTATTTCTCCCTTTCTGATTTGGATGACTTTTTTTTCTTTTCGTTGCCAAACTGCTCTGGGCTAGGACTTCCAGGGCTGTTAAATATAAGTGGAAAGAGTGGGCACCCTTGTGTTGTTCCTGATCTTAGAGAAATAATCTTTTTTTTTTTTAACCATTGAGTATGATGTAAGCTGTAAGTCTGTCATGTACAGCCTTTATTATGTTGACATACATTTCTTCTATATCTAGTTGTTCTGAGTTTTTATCATAAAAGGGTGTCATTTTCTCAAATGCTTCTTCAGCATCTCATAAGATGATCAAATCATTTTTATTTCATTCTATTAAGGTGGTGCTCACATTTATCGATTTGTATAAGCTGAATCATCCTTGTATCTCAGGGATAAATCCCACTTGATCATGGTGTATGATCCTTTTAAAATGCTATTCAATTTGGTTTGCAAGTATTTTCTTTTTTTTTTTTTTATTTTTTTATTTTTTATTTTATTTTTTAACTGTTTACAATATGTTTATTTTTTTTTTCCATTGTTGAAAATAGTTCATTTTTTTTTTTTTTTTTTACATGTATTCCCCATCCCGGTCCCCCCTCCCACCTCCCTCTCCACCCAATCCCTCTGGGTCTTCCCAGTGCACCAGGCCCGAGCACTTGTCTCATGCACCCAACCTGGGCTGGTGAACTGTTTCACCCTAGATAATATACGTGTTTCAATGCTGTTCTCTTGAAACATCCCACCCTCGCCTTCTCCCAGAGTCCACAAGTCTGTTCTATACATCGGAGTCTCTTTTTCTGTTTTGCACATAGGGTTATCGTTACTATCTTTCTAAATTCCATATATATGTGTTAGTATACTGTAATGGTCTTTATCTTTCTGGCTTACTTCGCTCTGTATAATGGGCTCCAGTTTCATCCATCTCATTAGAACTGATTCAAATGAATTCTTTTTAATGGCTGAGTAATATTCCATGGTGTATATGTACCACAGCTTCCT